ACCATCGGTTTGACACACAATTAATCATTGTACTTGGTTTACTACTGACTGTGTTACCCAGCTACCGCGTGGCAGGTGGCTGGCTAGTCTATTATGATATAAAAATTAAGTTGCGTGTGGGATCTAACATATCACTCAAGAAATGACACATTGGATGGTGTTATATTGACACCTTTATACCTTGTGGGCCACAATGCATTACTTTGGCCTAACGCTTGGCCCATCGAGTCATAATTATAGTTACCTAGTGATATAAACCCCGCGACGCTCTTCACCCCTCCACCACCTCCAAAAAATAGAAATACAGTACAATGCATGCACAAAACTACATATATACACATATACACAAATATATGCACCTATACAAAAATAGATACCAACATACACAGATATACACACACATACAGATATATACACATATATACACAGACATACACAGATATATACACATATATACACAAATATATACACACACATACACAGATATGCAGATATATACAAATACACACATACACATACACAGATATATACACATATACACAAATAGATACACACACATATATACACATATACACACATACACAGATATATACACATATACATAAAAAGATACACACACATACACAGATATATACACATATACACAAATAGAAACACACATATATACACAATAGGGTTGGGTAACCACGGAAAAATTTGGTTCTAAACATGTTTTGTTTTTAGGGGGCCCTTGCGTTTCGTTTTTTTTAATAATTCCGAAATTTTCCTTTTAAAAATTTCAAAATTTACGAAATTTCGTATAATGGCGGACGCGATTGCGCAGTATGCTTAAATAAAACCCCGCAATTAGTTACCCGTGCGTGCGCAACACCTTCTGTAAGCCTTCCCTCTCCCTCTGTCTTATTTAGTTTCTTTTTATTGAAGTTATTATAAAACAAGAGCAGAAGAAATGTGCAAGCTAATTTTGAACCTTTCAATTGCTGTTACATTTCTCCAATTTCTGTTTAGGCCTGCACACTGTGGAAATTTGTCCTCTTGTACCTGACCTTAAAAACAGCCCTTGTTTCCATTCTAATTTGTTTGTATTCCTGCTCTAATCTTGACTGGTACAATTCCCAACAAATTGCTTTTGCTCTTTTGATTATCTTATGCCCATTATTACACCTTACCCACTGAAAACTATGGAGATGAGATTCCACATGTAATGTATTTGTGTTGTACCTTGCCTGGGACAGGCCGGCGGTCAACAAATAATGATGTCAGGATCTCAGTTCTCCATGTGGATGGAGCTCCCTCTCATAATTCCTCCCAGGTCTATTGAAATTCACCTGCCAACTCTATGAGACAGGTATGTTCCTTTATTTATTATTTATTTATTTATTCAAAAGTTTTCTATACCGATCTTCTCACCTCCAAGAGGGACTCAGATCCGGTTCACAACATGTGTTCATATACAAAAAATACAAACCACACAATGTATTATCATTACACAATTAAAAACATATTACAATACAACATCGTCATCATCACACTTACACAGCCACGTCGTCAAAACATTCCTGGTCATAATTCACAGTTATTCATTCTCCTTCCATGTGGACCAAAGTTGACTCAGTTATCAAAGGCCGCATTCCATAGCCAAGTCTTTGTTAGCTTCCTGAACGTCAGGAGGGAGGGAGCAGTTCTAATCTCCTGTGGGAGGGAGTTCCAAAGCCGGGGAGCCACCATCGAGAAGGCCCTGTCTCTCGTCCCCACCAACCGCGATTGTGACAGTGGTGGGATCGAGAGCAGCCCCCCCCCCCGGAAGATCTTAAAGACCTTGATGGTTTGTAGGGGAGAATCCGTTCGGACAGGTAAACAGGGCCAGAGTCGTTTAGGGCTTTGTAGGTCAAAACCAGCACTTTGAATTGTGCTCGAAAGCTAATATATACAAATACATACACACACACACAGATATATACACAAATAGATACACATACACAGATATATACACATATACACAAATAGATACACATATGCACAAATATATACACACACATACACGGATATATAACAGCTGGTAGGCTGTTCGGAATGGTGGGAGTTGAAGTCCAAAACACCTGGAGGGAGGGCTGAAGTTTGCCCATGCCTGCCCTATGGAGATGGGGTGATGGGTGATGAAAAAGCAAAGGTGCTTCTTAGTCACAGAACCGCAAGACTCTTTGCAGCCCCTTCAGCTTCAACTTAAGCAATCTTTTTTTCTTTTTCCCTTCTTTTTTTGAAAATCACACAACCTGCTGTCAAAATAGTGCCAGATGGGTAACCAGAAAGCAATCTGCTTCATTAGGGAGCGACCAATTGCAGCTTGCAAAGAGCGCGTGGCGGAGGAATGATGGAGACAGGAAAGATGCCTCCCCTTAATTGTGATTGAACCGATAACCTTTGGGATTTAATTGCCGCTAGGTTGTTATTCAATTTTATTTTATTTTTTTGCTGGAGAGATAGAGAGAGAGAGAAAAAAAATGGATCTTATTTACCAGAGGGTGCCCAAAATAGAGATGCTCTTCTTCGATGTGCCTGATGAGACCTTGTGTTCCTCCAAATGAAGGAAAACAACTTATAATCGCTTCGAGAGCACCTTGAATTGCTTCTGAATTTCCTGTCAATTGAAATAACTCTAGGTTTAATTGAAAGGGTCTCTCTGCATTGCTCTTGATATAAATCAACGAATGGTTAGATGGCGTTTTTTCCAAACTCTGCGGAAAAGTTTCCCATATAAAATGGGTTACCAGTATAAATTATAACAGTAAATAAAGAACAAAACTCAAACACAGGGGAACTCCAGACAAGAAACAATCAGGGACAGCTAATCCTCTCAACAAAGGATTCTCCCAGGCAGTAAGAAGCCAGATCTTGATAACTGCTAGGCCATCAAAGGCTAATCATTCCAGACAAGAAACAATCAGGGACAGCTAATCCTCTCAACAAAGGATTCTCCCAGGCAGTAAGAAGCCAGACCTTGATAACTGCTAGGCCATCAAATGCTAATCAAGGTGGCCAATGGCAACATTTTCTCTTTGCTCCAACAGACCCTGGACTTTCTACGGATATATAAACCCCATTTTCCTAGTTCCAACAGGCCTCACAAAACCTCTAAGGATGCCTGCCATAGATGCAGGCAAAAAGTCAGGAGAGAATGCTTCTAGAACATGGCCAGATAGCCCAAAAAACCTACAACAACCCATATAGTTTCTCAAAAGCCCTCATTTTTAAATCTACCCAACTGTCCTGTGTGTAAGCCTCACTCCTTTTTGCAGCCAGGCAGACAATGAATTTATTATTATTATTATTATTATTATTATTATTATTATTTACAGTATTTATATTCCGCCCTTCTCATCCCACAGGGGACTCAGGGCATATTACGATGTACATATACATGGCAAACATTCAATGCCATAGACACGCAACATATATAAACAGACACACAGAGGCTATTTAACATTCCAGCTTTTTCATGATGGTATTCTGGCCACCAGGGGAGCTGTTGCTTCACCGTCCATTTGTGACACTGATGAAGTACTTCCTCATTCTTTGCATGCTTGTTGGAGATTTTTATGGCGTCGTAAATTAGCCTCCCCACATAAGCGGTACCTAAATTTTCTACTTGACAGATGCAACTGTCTTCCGGGCTGCAAAGGTCGACAGCAAGCTATACAAATTGGTCGGAAGCTCACTCTCCTACCCGAGCTGGCTTTGAACTCATAACCTTTTGGTCAGTAGTGATCTTAATGCAGCTGACTCCCAGCCAGCTGTGTCACAGTCTCGGTGGACTGTCTAGTGGAGCCTAGTGCCTAGATCCAGGGAAGTCATGCTACCCATCTATTCTGCCTTTGTTAAACCACATCTGGAATACTGTGTCCAGTTCTGGGCACCACAATTGAAGAGAGATGCTGACAAGCTGGAATGTGTCCAGATGAGGGCGACTCAAATGATCAAGGGTCTGGAGAACAAGCCCTATGAGGAGCGGCTTAAAGAGATGGGCATGTTTAGCCTGAAGAAGAGAAGGCTGAGAGGAGAGATGATAGCCATGTATAAATATATGAGGGGAAGTCCTAGGGAGGAGGGAGCAAGCTTGTTTTCTGCTGTCCTGGAGATTAGGACGCAGAATAATGGCTTCAAACTATAGGAAAGGTGATTCCACCTGAACATTAGGAAGAACTTCCTGACTGTGAGAGCTGTTCAGCAGTGGAACGCTCTGCCCCAGACTGTGGCAGAGGCTCCTTCTTTGGGGGCTTTGAAGCAGAGGCTGTATGGCCATGACTGTCGGAGGTGCTTTGAATGCGGTCTTCCTGCTTCTTGGCCGAGTTGGGTTGGACTGGGTGGCCAACAAGGTCTCTTCCAACTCTGAACATTAGGAAGAACTTCCTGACTGTGAAGGCTGGTCAGCAGTGGAACTCTCTGCTCCGGAATGTGGTGAAAGCTCCTTCTTTGGATGCTTTTAAACAGAGGCTGGATGGCCATCTGTCAGGGATGCCCTGAAGGCGATTTTCCTACTTCTTGGCGGAGTTGGGTTGGACTGGTTGGCCAACAAGGTGTCTTCCAACTTGGATTCCATGATCTAAGAACTTCCTGACTGTGAGAGCTGTTCAGCAGTGGAACTCTCTGCCCCAGAGTGTGGTGGAGGCTTTGAAGCAGAGGCTGGATGGCCATCTGTCAGGGTTGCTTTGAATGGGATTTTTCCTGCTTCTTGGCACAATGGGGTTGGACTGGATGGCCCACCACGTCTCTTCCAACTCTAGGATTCTGTGATGCTATGACACCCAAGCCCTATATCACTCTGAATTGGGGCTGTGGTCTTCTTGCAACCCTTGCCATCTCCTCCTTAGCTCTCTCTCTCTCTCTCTCTCTCTCTCTCTAACTTTCTCTCCTTCCTCTTTGCTTTTTATTTTCCTGCATAATTTTATCTTCACGCCAGGCTTCACCTTTCTGTGTCCTATCTACCCTTCATGTTTCCATAGCAACCCAGCATCCCACCGAACCCGAAAGCACGGAGCCGGCCCGTGAGTAGCAGGAAGGCCACCCCACCCTACCCACCATCCTTCCCGCCTGACGCAGCCCCCATTCCCCCCTTTTCCTGCCCTCCTCCCCTTTAGCCCTGCAAGGCCCTCTCTCCTGAGTGATCGGCAGGACCCTAAGTGTGACACACCTCCCCAGGTGTGATGTATGCATATCTGGCATGGATGAGTGTGGAAGGTGTAGAGCTGTCCTGACCTCGCATCTTTGCACGATTCCCAGTCTTGCATAGTGAAGACCTGTTAATGTCTTTGCAAGGAGTGGTGTTTTCGTATTATTATTGGGGGGCTTTTTGCAAACCTCTTAGGAACTAACTTCAATTTTATCGGGGCATTTTTTTCTGCTCTTCAGAAGAAGGAAGAGCAGAAGCTTCACACAAGAGCTTTTTACACACAGCAGCCTTCACACTGAAGCTTCACACCCAGTGGCCTTCAACCTGGGGCTTCTCTCACCAAAGCTCATAATGAGACCTACCTCACACAGAGGCCTTCCTCCTACTTAGACCTTCTCACACTGAGAGCTCTTTCAGACTGAGGCCTTTCTCCCACTGAGGCCTTCTCACACTGAGAGCTCTCTCAGACTGAGGCCTTTCTCCCACTGAGGCCTTCTCACACTGAGAGCTCTCTCAAACTGAGGCCTTTCTCCCACTGAGGCCTTCTCACACTGAGAGCTCTCTCAGACTGAGGCCTTTCTCCCACTGAGGCCTTCTCACACTGACAGCTGTCTCAGACTGAGACCTTTCTCCCACTGAGGCGAACTAACACTGAGCCTTTCTCATACTGAGGCCTACTAACACACTGAGGCCCTTCTCTTTGTTAATCTCTTTGCAAGGAGTGGTGTTTTCATATTATTTTGGGGGGTTTTTTTGCAACCTTCTTAGGAACTATAGCTTCATCGGGACATTTCGCTGCTCTTCAGAAGAAGGAAGAGCAGAAGCTTCACACAAGAGCTTTTTACACACAGCCTTCACACTGAAGCTTCACACCCAGTGGCCTTCAAACCTGGGGCTTCTCTCACCAAAGCTTCTCACACCAGGCCTTTCTCATAATGAGACCTACCTCACACTGAGGCCTTTCTCCCACTTAGGCCTTCTCCCATTGGCCTCAGTGGGAGAGGCCACTGAGGCGAACTAACACTGAGGCTTTCTCATACTGAGGCCTACTAACACACCGAGGCCTTCTCCCACAGAAACCTTTCACAGAATGAGGGCTGCACGGCTACAGGCCTTCTCACACTGAGAGCTCTCTCAGACTGAGGCCTTCCTCCTACTGAGGTGAACTGACACTGAGGCTTTCTCATACTGAGGCCTACTAACACACCGAGGCCTTCTCCCACAGAAACCTTTCACAGAATGAGGGCTGCACAGCTACAGGCCTTCTCACACTGAGAACTCTCTCAGACTGAGGCCTTCCTCCCACTGAGGCAAACTAACAGTGAGGCTTTCTCATACTGAGGCCTACTAACACACTGAGGCCCTTCTCCCTGTTAATGTCTTTGAAAGGAGTGGTGTTTTCATATTATTTTGGGTTTTGGTTTTGGTTTTTGTTTTTTTTGCAACCTTCTTAGGAACTAACTTCAATTTCATCAGGGCATTTTGCAGCTCTTCAGAAGAAGGAGCTCTCCAAGCCCTTCTCCACTTTTTTTTGCACGCTCTCCTTTTTCCTTCCTCCTTGTAAGCACCCTATTGATTTTATGGGCTGATTGCAGAGGTAACAAACTAGATTAGGCTTAATTAAAACAGAGCAGGATACATTCAGGCAAGCATAATAAGATCCAAGATGAGCTTCCAATGGAGCCAGATCTGAAACCTAAATAGTCCTAGGTGCAATTTATCCACTCGGTTCAAGGAGTCAAGAATGCAGCCTTCAGCAAGGCAATCGGAGGAAGAAATTGTTGGGTGAGTGGGCTTATTAACAAAAGACCCCCCCCCCTCATAAATGCACAGCAGAGTAACTTAGCAGCAGCAGCGTGACCCAGGAAAAGTGATAAAAAGAACAAAATCAGACAGACTGATGTTATATCTTCCATAGAAGACTTTTCTGTATATCAAAAATTATTTATTTATTTTTTACCATATTTACATACAGCTTTTCTCAGCCCGAAGGCAACTTAAGGCGGTTTACAATCGGCATAATTTAATGCCCCCAACAACATAAAATAAGTTAAAACATTAACATATAGTATAAAAGATATAAAAACAATAAAAGCAATAAAAATAATATGGTTGCACTATTTACATAAACAAAGTTTCCATAACACAAGCAGAGTTCTTTATACTTCCTTCTTTGCTTCCACGCTGGGCTTCTTTCTTATGCAAATAAGCAGCTTCACTCTCACAGAGCCTCTTCTCACACTGAAGTTACACAGGAGCTTCACACAAGAGCTTTTTAAACATAGCAGCCTTCACACTGAAGCTTTACACCCAGTGGCCTTCAACCTGGGACTTCTCTCGCTGAAGCTTCTTACACCGAGGCCTTTCTCCCACTGAGGCTTTCTCCCACAGAACTCTCTCAGACTGAGGCCTTTATCCCACTGAGGCCTTCTCACACTGACAACTCTCTCAGACTGAGGCCTTCTCACACTGACAACTCACTCAGACTGAGGCCTTTCTCTCACTGAGGCCTTCTCACACTGACAACTCTCTCAGACTGAGGCCTTTCTCACACTGAGAGGTTTCTCACACTGAGAGGTTTCTCAGACTGAGGCCTTTCTCTCACTGAGGCCTTCTCACACTGACAACTCTCTCAGATTGAGGCCTTTCTCTCACTGAGGCCTTCTCACACTGACAACTCTCACAGACTGAGGCCTTTCTCCCACTGAGGCCTTCCCACACTGAGAGCTCTTTCAGACTGAGGCCTTTCTCCCACTGAAGTGAACTAACACTGAGGCTTTCTCATACTGAGGCCTACTAACACACTGAGGCCCTTCTCCCACAGAGATCTCTCACAAACTGAGGGCTTCTAAGCTACAGGCACACCTGCTTATTTAGAACTGCAGCTTTTTCCTGGGTCATTGCATCCATTTACCCCTTTCAGTGCTTGACTCACATTTTTGTAATTAAAGATACGTAGTCAATTTTTAATATATGGAGCCCTCGGTGGCGCAGTGGGTTAAACCTCTGAGCCAGCAGGACTGAAGACCAACAGGTCACAGGTTTGAATCTGGGGAGAGTGCGGATGAGCTCCCTCTGTCAGCTCTAGCTCCGCATGCGCGGACATGAGAGAATCCTCCCACAAGGATGATAAAAAATCAAAACATCTGGGCGTCCCCTGGGCAACTTCCTTGCAGACGGCCAATTCTCTCACACCAGAAGCGACTTGCAGTTTCTCAAGTCACTCCCGACATGACAAAAATAAATAAATAAATAACTAAATAACTAATATTTCTGATAGAAATGGCCTCATCCAACAACAAAGCAGATCCCAGTTCTTTGGTGGAAGTTGCGTTATGGGTTCTTGAACTAAAATCTTTGGGTAAAATCCACAAGGTCAGGACACATTGTGTGGTTTCTCTGCTTCGTGGACATTTAATAATATCATGCAGCACAAAACAACACCTATTTGAATGGTAGAAAATGAGCTTTGCCCTTGACACACTCTTTATGTGCTGGAGCTTTAGATTAGCAAGACTCTTTGGGTGCGCATGACTTAACTGCATTATAATTCTCCCCTTCTTTTGGGTTTCGGTGAACACGGAATGTGCCTGTTTGTGTCTTTGTGGGTGCTGTAGTTTGGCTTGCAATGAGATCTTTAGAATCCTGTTTAGAGCTGAGAGAAGCTTTTTTTCCTCCCAGGGAAGAACCGGGGCATTGTTCCTCCTGCCAGCATCTCACTAGGTGGAATGCGTATTTCTCTACTAAACAGCGCACTAGCTGTGCATAGAAACCTAGTTTCTCCCTTGCAGTTAGAAGGAACAATGGTGGCCAAGGGTTCCAGCGCCAGTGAGCTAGTGACTGCTCTGGCTTTTAGGATTTTGAAGGATTTCCCCAAAACGCTGCATTGATTTGAGGCATAGCTCAGCTCCTGGGATGATAGTACCTTCCACCTTTGGATTAAAACCACAGAGGCAAACATTCAATGCCCGACATACAGCAAAACATTGCAGCAATAGAACATAATAGTAAATAATAACAGCATTATACTAATCAAATAAAGTTAAATATCAAAATAAAGACATAGAACAGCTAATCAATAAACTAACACAGTTTAAAAGCATAGTCATCAATAAGGCATCTAACATAGTTAGCACCATTAAAAATTGGTGAAGCARTGTTTCTTATAGTTGTTCTTAACTGGTAGGTCAGCCTGCTTTCCCTAATCCCCCCCCCCCCCCCCCCCCCCCGGGTATGCCAAAATGCAGAGATGTGTTTTTAGTATATTTTTGAAAGAGAGGAAGGTAGGGGTTGTTTTTATCTCTTTCGGGAGTTCCAGAGATGAGGAACGGTCACAGAGAAGGCCCCCTTTCTCGCTCCCACCAGCTACGCTTGAGATAGGGGTCGGACCGAGGGGAGGGCCTCCTCTGTAGATCGCAGTTCCCGGAATGGTCTGTGTAGGGAGATGAGGGTGGAGGTTGTTTTTATCTCTTTCAAGAATTCCAGAGATGAGCGATCATATAAAACGTCCCCTCTCTCGTTCCCACCATCTGCACTTGAGATGGGGGTTGGACCAAGGGGAGGGCCTGCTCTGGAGACTGCAGTTCCTGGAATGGTCTGTGTAGGGAGATGAGGGAGGGGATTGTTTTCATCTCTTTCAAGAGTTCCAGAGATGAGGAGCAATCATGGAAAAGGCTCCCTCTCTCGTTCCCACTAATTGCACTTGAGACGGGGGTAGGACTGAGAGGAGGGCTTCCTCTGCAGATCGCAGTTCCCAGGATGGCCTGTGTAGGGAGATGAAGGTGAAGGTTGGTTTTTTTCTCTTTCAAGAGTTCCAGAGATGAGGAGCAATCGTGGAAAAGGTCCCCTCTCTCATTCCCACCAGCTGCACTTGAG